TGATTGACTGGCGATTGAATTAACAGACATTCTCCAGACTTTATCATCAGGAAGAACAACAGATCTAAAATCCCTGGACTTTCTGAAATGCATGCTGGTTTTCCTCTATGCGTGAGAAAGTATTGATTCACCCAAAATGTGTCGCCATGTGCATAAGCGCATTAAAATTAATCCTTTCACTGATAAATTCCTGGCTGAGCTCTTATTTATCTTTCAGGAGGATTTAAAGCCCCTGTGTCATATGGAGGCTTTAATATGAATCTCAGAAATTTGATACGCGGAATGGCAAAATTTAATTCAGCAGTATTATGCCACTACATTATTTTAGCTCCGAGATATTTTTTCCTTTTCTTGTGTCGAATTTCCAGAATGTTTCAAACATTTAAAAAATCAAAATTTATTCCACGCTTGGATATTTTATTTTTACAGTTGATCCAAAATATTGTAATAGAGCTCCATTTCCCACCTTCTTTGCAAATATTGACAGTCCTGCTTTCTATAAAGATAAGGCTATTTTCTAAAATAATAAATGGGTTGGTTCGAGAAAATTTTCACACATTTGCATGGGTAATAGAGTAAACATTTCTGAAACTAACAAAAATTGTATAAGAGGTTAACATCAAAAGCAAGAGTCATTCAAACGATTTAAAAAATACTTTGAAACCAGGTCTGGTTTGAATAATATTTTTTTCATAAATTGCAGTTTTATATGAAAAAAATTTAAAATTTTGAATCTTGGAGCAAAATATTACATCAAAAATACTGCATTTCCATCTCAAAACTTGATTTTCATATATGCAAAATGCATTGCCCAAAAATCTTCTGATTTGAAAATTTTCTCTGCACTTAAGCTTTGAAAATTCTTGATTCCAGCAAAATCAGTATACTTGGTGACCTGCAATTTGACCCGAATCTTTTGCTGGACTTGGGTTGAATTTCAGAATGGTCGAATTACAATACACTCTGTAAAATCAAGGGCAGAAAGCACACTAGAAAAGATTATGAAACAGGTCAACTTTTGGGAGAGAGGTTGCATTGCAAGTTGACCTATAAGCAAATCTGACCATCAAATTGCAGGATGCTTGAATTGCAAGAGGTTGAATTGTGACTTTGTGAGGTACCACCTGCACTTGAATATTGTTTTTCTTCAATGAACACGCTTAATTCATAACGCTCTATGTGAACCTGCAGCATGAGAAAAAATGACAACTTGACTAGAGAGATTAAATTGTGTAGTTTTCTTTTTCAATATCAAATCCGTTTATTAAGGATACATAGAACAAAGTTTGAATGACTTTTGACTTTTCATTCGGATTGAAAACAGTTTCAGGCGCAACTTGTCCTGCACTAACGCCATCCAGTGGAGCCACAGTCAAATACAATTTAGCATCGAATATAAGTGCACCTTACAATGAGAATACCACAGCTCAAGTCATTTGCCCCTGTTTGCAAACATGGCCAACAAATGCAAGGAGAACAGAACCAGCCACATGTAATTCTGCTGGTACCTGGACAACCAATTCCACCAGTCAAACCTGTGCTGCTCTTTCAGGTATGAAAGCTTATTCATGTCCAAGATGATTCAAGTAGTAATAATTATTATTGTTGGATAATTGAAAAATTGCAAATTTGCTAAAACGTAGCTGGCAAAATATATGCGCCTTACTATGAAAAATAATTTGAGATTGAATTCAAGTTTTGTACATCCAGCCTCATTGGAGCCTACAAAAATTGAGAGCAATCAAAGATCAGTAGAATAGTAAAAAAAAAATGTTGATTAGCTTCAGCACAATTTTGCAACCCAAATTCAAATGTGATCCTTTTACTCAAGCTATAAGCCTCAAAGACTTCTTTGGATTTTCATACTTCTTTCTTAAATGATGAAGATATTCCACAGCAGTTTGGTAGTGACTGCTATTCAATCATAATTTTTTTGCTGCATAATTCTTTCCAGCTACTTTTCTGAAAGATTTCACAAAACAACACATCCCATTTAACAAATATCAGATGCATATTCCAATCAAAATCAAAGAATAGTCATTTTTAATTTAATAGAAAAACGGAAAATTTCCCTCTTGAAATCTTCTAGCCCAGCAATGTCAGGGCGGAATAAATGTTTTACCCTTTTTTAAATTCTTGGAAAAAAGCGAGAAAAAATCCCGAATTTTATTTCTAGAATGACTATTGAAAGACTACGTCGTCAGCTGATAACAATCAAGTCTAGTTCCAATAAAACCTTGAAAAAATCCCGTACCGTACCACAAATAGTCGAGGTTTCCAGAAATCCAGACTCAAAATTCGGAAAACATTGCGGTGACTTGGAATCGTTTGATAAAAAAAACAATAATACAGTACAGTAGAATCTTTTTACAGTAACTTATATCTTCATGAATAATTCTTGGTTACAACAATTCGTTTTTTGAGGTCCATACGTCCATTAGTAAAAATGTGGTTCAAGTCGATTTATAACGAATTTATCGACATAAAACGTAAGAGTTTTTCCTGATCCCAACGGATTCGTTTCAACGATATTTACTGTACATAAATTTTACTCTATATTTCAAGCTTATCAATAATATACGCGAGTTTTTCGTACCATCTTTGACAAAAATTGACTCAAAACTATATTCATGCATTTGCAAAATATATGTGGGTGTGAAATCTCGCACTTTCAATTAAGAAGGCGTCAGCGGAATACTTTACTGTAATAAGGGTACGTTCCTCGAACGAATAATGCAGCAGAAAATCCCCTATATACAATAGCTCGTCAGTCGATGAGCAATTTTCCTCGAGGGCATCATCCGTGATTGAGTTCGAAAGGAATGGCGGAAGTTCATTAGCGAAATTGACCCTTTTGCAGCGACAACGCCGGTCCTAACGACCAGCACCGGAAGGAAGCTGCACGTTTTGTCCGCATCCGGTTCAGCGTGGACGAGAGTCACTGACGCGGCGGACGAGTGCACCACTTCCGGCAAGGGCTCCTTAGCAGTGGGTCTCAGTTCCGGGGAAATCGGGGAACTGGAAGTTGCCCTGGGTTGGAGGGACTACGGGTGCCCCGGGATCCAGTCCCTGGTTTACATGCCTGGAACTTTTGTGTGAGCTGATGAGTGCATACATACTGTACTTTAAACTTAGACTGATTATTCAATTACTGTACATATATATGTGTGAATGAATGAATAGAAAACTGTATTTGCCGCTTTTCAGCATTCACAAGGCACAACCAAAACTCCCGCAGCCAAACCCCCTCCCCACCCAACTCAACTCCCCCCAAGACATTCAATCACTTCATATCATGAAACAAAGCACAAACCAATGACAAAAACAAACCCCCAGGCAAGGGCACCGTTAGCCTGGGGAACGTTACTACTTACCTAACTCAAT